GTGAAAACTGCATAATTTAAGGGATTTTTGTGAAATTACCTTCAAAAAGAACATGAAAGAGATTTTTGAAAACATGGGGTGTTTTGGTTATTTTGATGCCCATGAGTCAATCAAATTTAATAACGTAAGTTAAGGGGTTTCTTGAGAAAACTTAAGGGGTTATTTGGTATTTCTAAACTTAAAGGAGGTTATCTAATAATTAGCCACATTAATGGGAGTTTTCTAATATTTAGCCTCTTAACAATATACATCTCCGAATTAATTGCACCAAAGTATGATAACAATTCAAAGCATCTAGTTTGTTAGAATCTCAAGGTTTTACTTCTTTAAATCATTCAAAGACCAACAAGCATTCAAATGTTACAAGGATTGGGAGTAAGATTAAGTATGCAAAGAAGGAATTGACAATGAAAATTGAAGATAAGAATTTGGGTTAAGGAATCTAAGAAGTTGGAGGCAAAAGCTAAGGATTTGGGCAAGTCTCTAAGGGCAAGTCTCTGAATGACTTAAAGGACATGGGTAAAAAGAAGAATTTAATAGTTTTAAGAATGAATTGAAGAAGAGAAGATGTTCTTATGGCAGTGATGAGAATGTGAGTTTGGCAAAGGGGAAGAAGTCTTATGAGTGATGAGAGTGGCTCACCATAGGAGCTACTACATAAGCAAGTCCACGATACTTCAAAGTTCACATGTGAGACTGCAATTAGATCTAAAAAGTAAGGGATAAAGTGTCTCAAAAATTTACGCAAGACCAAGCAGATTCGACAAACACAAATGTGCCCTTGAGGGTTTTTTATATATAGTGACTAGTGAAGAAGGAACATGCCTTACATGTGCAACTTTTTTTTAAGGAACTAAATAGAAATTTCAATTATTTTGACTAGCTAATTCAGAAAAACTCATTACCACCATTTATTTTTAACTCATTCACATCCAAAATCACTCTTAGACCTATTAGCTTTTTCTTTCTTTTTTTTAGAAGATTAGAATTGTCAACAATTATAATCTTCATACATAAGCTTGTCATTATTAATCATTCAATCATCGGCCTAGACCTATGATACTCCACTGAATCATTTGTAATTATGTTGTATAAGGTTCTTAGGAGTTGTACTCCAGAAAGAAGTTGTCACCCAAACAAGAAACAAGTAAATTATTTTTTTCCAAATAAACCCAATATTTTACCCCCCATTCAATTTTAAACTAACAACATCCGAATCACTCTTACAGCCAAAATACTCACCTAATTATTTTTTTTAAATCACTTAGTATTTCAACAGTATAATACACGTTGTGAGTTATTGTGTTTTGTTGTAATTTGCTATATTTTTTTCCAATTTGTTATGTATATGATGTAAGTCAATATATTTTTGCAATAACTTGATATATATTTTTAATTATTAGTAGTTATATATTTTACTAAGTAGTAATAGTTTTTGGTTGTTGCAGTGCACATTACAATTATAAAGGTAACTGTGACCTAAACAATTAAACAAAGAAATTTTATGCTTATAAACCCGAAGTTTACCCTCTGTTTATGTGTAAATTCACTAAATGTCAAAATCACTCTTACATCCAAAATAGTTCATTGGATTATTTTAACCCACTATATAAATTATTTGGAAATTTTATTGTAGAGAACAACTGAAGATGCAACTTTGACCAAAAATAATAAACAAGGGTCGGTTTTGCCTACATATGTGATGTTTTACCAATTTATTTTTAAACCCCCCAACAACCTAATTCATTCTTGCACCAAAATACTCTACGTTAAACTTAGAGAGTTTAATATATGGTTTAAGTAATGAGACTTTAAACAATAATTTGTGAATTAGTTTGAATGGACACAAACAAAAGAACATTTACCTTTGTCGATTGAGAACAAAATGTGCTGATACATAAACTAACTTGTCAGATGATTCATTTTTTATGTTCCATTCTAAATCAAATGCTTAAACCATATTTGCTAGTTTTGTTTAAACTAATACCGCAGCATCGCGCGGGTCAATTGAATGCTAGAAATAATATCTTAATCATACAGACCATTAATGGAAGCTAATTAAAAATGGCAATACATGGAAAACAGAAAGAAACTTGCCGTTATCCGAAAAAAGCATTTAGATCCTAAAAGGTGTTAGTAAACAACTAATAAACAGCAACAAATCCTAGAAAGCAAAGGAGGACTAGAATATAAGAGACTATGGTCATAATATCCGAGTAATCTCTGACAAACTACCTACTTTAACCAAGACTTCATCGTTAGTCAATTTCCTAGCCTAAGTAAAAGAATGGTTCGATAACTTTTATGGTGTTAAATATGAAGATTGAAGAGTAATATTTGATGGTTGAAGAAGATAGATAAAAGTATAAGAATAGACAAAATCGAACCTGACCTCCTCGCCAGAGACATATATAACTGGAGCAGGCCCGTTAAATTTATGCCCTTCAGCAATATTTGCAGCAAGCTTCGTATCCAAAAAACAGAAAATATCATTTACAGACAATGAAACTCAAGAATATTTTGAGGGAAAAACAAACTGACAAAACACAGCTTCATTAAAATATGGACATAATTTTAAGAAAAGAGATATAGAATAGATGATAATTAAATCAAACTATACCTGTAATAGAAGTGTACTTTTTCCAACACCAGGGTCACCACCAACTAAAACTAAAGAACCTATAAAATCCAGCAAAGAGCAGTCACTTACTCAAACCTCTAATTATCAGAAAACAGCAAGCACAATTAATTTTATATCAATGGCTATGATAGATTGATGCAAAGCACTTTAATTCATAAACAATAAAGCATGTTCTTTTGCCCTTCCCAGAAACAGCATTTATGGTGACACTAAAACAATTCTGCTTACTTGATAAATCAAAAGAACATTTTAAGATATAATTCTTGCAAACCGGAAAACCAAATTTGGCATATCATGCATCTAAAGTAAAGGAATATATTGACGTGAATAGCACGTAAACTGCATCTTAGTGTCAATGACTCTCAACACATAAGATTTTCACGCATGTATCATCTTTTTTTTTACGCATTTATCAACTTAAGCATGAAACCATCACATAAAATTGCTTTGAATGTTATCATAGAAAAGTCCCAATATAAAGAAGCAGAATCTTAATATTAAGTTAGAAAGATTGACAATTCTTATGTCACTATTCAGCTGAAGAGAGAAATATATAAGCTTAGAATCAATAAATAAAATGCTGATGAGAAAATACTATGTTAATGCAGACTCTAGAATGGTAGAATTAAAAGTATAAGTTGCTCATCAGAGATAACATACCTGGTACAAGACCACCACCAAGAACCCGAGAAACCTCCATTCCAAAATGCCCAGACCTGGAAACAAGAAAGACACCTGATCATAGCCCATTAAGATTATAATGATTGTTATAGTTTTCCTTAGAGTGGCTTGCTTCTGCAAGAGAGAAACAAGGGGATCAAAGAGTCCCATATAACCATTGAGACGAAAACTATTTCAGCTTAATGATGCTTTGTGCTTTGTAGATAAAATATGTGTGTGGAATTGGTTCATATGTTTTACTTATTTTCATAAGAACATTTTAAAAGACAATTAACAATACACATAAAAAAAAATTTAGAATTTATAAGTGATCGATCCTTTAACAGATTGATGCAATTACCATATTGATGGTTTACTTATACATTAACATAGAATAAGAGCTTGCTGCAGTTTTCATTTGATCTAATACGTGTCATGTGTCTGCTTCGTCCAAAGGAAAGTTGCATTATCATTGGTGCACCTACCCTAGGTTATGCAAACAAATCAAAATTTCAAGGAGATGGCTATAACACATAGGAATACAGAAAATATATGGTGCAATAAAGCTCATGTTTAGACAGCAAATAAAGCTCATGTTTAGAACAAACTATATGATGCTAACGATATAGAAAGATTACATGACAAAGATTGATTTTGCAGAACAAAATTCATTTAAATATACTTCCCTATGGTTAAGATAATATAGAATGATGACAATGGACCAAATGGGCAGAAAAGAGAACCACTTGCTACGCTCTACTAGCCATGAAGTATAGGTAAACTAACCATGACATTTTATAGCATTGAGAGGTATTAACCTGCCAATTATAACCATACTCTACCGTGTACCAATTGCAAGTTTTCTGCTATCCTCAAGCTCGTTACAGATGAATAACAACCTAGAGAAAATAACAAGTACCGAAGTAATCTCTATAACCATAAACAGGCCAAATTATGTATAATAGCATTGATGAAATAGTGAATTTGAGTATCATATTAATTTATAGCCCATTAATTTCAACTTTCAACCAGGCGCTATTTGCCAAAGAAAGGCTCCATGATTTTGAGACAGAGCAACAGTTTCTTTCTAACGAGTTGTAAGCACAATAAATTTGAGCGATCAACACTCAGCAACTGCTTTGCAATATTAATTTCCCTTCATTTTCATCAAATTAATCCAATATAAAAGCTCAGGCAAATGAAAATTTCAGAGAACTCACAGTGGGATTCTCCATTCAGACTGCTTCCTCTCCTTATTCACTTCCTTCAAGCTCTGAGGCACCAACTCCCCCGCTTTCTGCGGAAGCCAAGACCTCACGGCCGCCTCTGACACCTCAGCACCCCTCCCCTTAGTAACCTCGCTGCTCTCCGAGAACTGCTTCACTGTACCCATTAAGTGACACGACGGGCAAGTCCCCCACCATTGCCCAGTCGTCGCTCCACAGTTCTCACAGACCCACGAAATCCTAGTTTTCTCCTTCTTCCTCTTTCCAACTGCCGAAACCCTAAATTTCTCCTGTTCCTTCGGCTTCGGCGCTCCTTGGACAGTGGAAATTTGTGGCTTTTCGTTGTTTTCTGGGAGTTCAGGGAGGTTGAAGAAGGGATTCCAAGAACTATCGCTAGCGTTTCGATCAGGGTCAGCGAGAGCTTTAGTCTCGTCCTCCCACCCTCGATTCAAGAAATTGGCGGGTCTTTGGATGGAGGAAATTGATCGAAGAGAGGAGACTCTGCTGGATTTGGGGAGATTGAGGAGATTCCTGTTGTGGATGATGAGATTGCGGAGGGATTGCATGTTAGGATTAGGTTTTGGGGAGAGATATGAGATGGCTTCAATTGGCATCAAATGAAATGGAGAATTGAGAGGAGAGCTAGGGTTTAGGGTTTTAGGGGAAGTGAGCCCGCCATAAGTTCGAAAGTGTGCGTGATTTCGGTGTTTCATTCCGATATATCGGTTCGAAAATCCGAAATGACGTCGTAACGTCGCCGACATGCAACGGCCAGTCCTTGCGAGAAATTTGACGGGTTAATTTCACAAACCCCCCTGACTTTCATAAAAATATTCGCATTGAATCAGAATGTTCGGAGAGAACCTGAACTTTTAGGGGCTGTTTAGCAACCCCACTAAAATTAGGTCAAATTCAAACCTGACCTAGTTTTACTCTATTTTGTACTTAAGAAAAGATGGGTTAATTCTGGCCCAGATTTTTTTAGGTTATTTTTAGCCCTCTAAACCAAGCCAGAATTGACTACCCCTAGCTAAACCAACCCTGACCAAACTAAGGAAAAATATATGGTTGGCCTTGTCTCTGTCGTGTTACCAAACAAAGCCTAAATGGTGTGATTGGAAACTGGTCCAGTTTTTACACAGTTTTATTATTATCACAATCTAGACTAGAAATAACCTAGTTTATTTCATTTCATTTTTTTGGATTGAAATCAGTTTAATTGTGGCCCATGAAGAAGTGTTCCCCGAGTACACCGGTTCTATTTAGAACTAGTTTGAAGGACAACATTGGCCCAAATTCATTGAGTTGCCAAATGCACCTAGACAAACTACACAAAATTGGGCGTGAAGTTAATTAGATTAAACTTCGCCGGATATGGGATCGATTCCCATTCTCTTGGGTATGGGCAAGCTGTTTTCTTCGTCTCTTGAGCGGAGATTAATGTGTTGATTTTGCTCTCGAGGTTTTTGATCTTCAGGTTTTCGCCGGTGTCTTCATTGGCATTCTCATTACCACCCCCTGCATTGACAGGATGATAAACCATAGTGCCCAATTTTACAAGATTGTCAAAGACACCCTTAGATTTGTCCCTTAATACCCTTTGAACTATTTTCAGTCTCGTGTTATTTCCTAAACTATCAAATTCGTCAATGGTTTCCCTCTGAACGATGTTTAGTTCCACATTAGCTCGTGAATTATAAATTATGAGTACCTCTATACTCATTCTTGAAAAATGCCCCAGGGACCCGGAAAATGGGACAGGAGCAGGGGACAGGTGAGGTGTCCCCTGCTCATTGGTTAATGTACTGTTCATGAACAGTACATTAACCAATGAGCAGGGGACACCTCACCTGTCCCCTGCTCCTGTCCCCTTTTCCGGGTCCCTGTAGAAGGACTCCTCATTCTTTTTCATTATCTTGTACTATATGTATACTCTAAACTAAAACCTTTTTAGTTAACTGCCCTAGAGCTTTCCACGTCAACTCTTCTCATCTCAAAACTTTTTGTCACTTGTACCTAATCTAAATCTTCCATCTTAATCTTAGTCCTAATTATCTAATATCTTACAGAACCTTTGATTACAATAAATCTTAATTATAGAAATTCTTAATTACATAATATGTTACAGAATATATCTTAATCAACATATTATCTAGTAATATCTTATTAATTTATATATCTTATCAAAACTAAAAAAACATGAATAATTATGAAAATTTTAATTAAGAAAAATAATAACAGAGTGTATTAACGAAAAAATGTGAATAAGTAATTATAGAATAACATGAAACAAAATACAATATAATAATTGTTGCTAAATCGTTAATTGCCTAGGTATTCAGTTACAAAAAAAAAATTAAGTTTTGAATTCTTAAAAGAAACAAGACGGAAATGATATATTAGGTAAGTTTTGCTACTTTAGTTTATATTTTTGGTAGGAAAAAGAATAACACAAATTATGATTGTGCAAGAGAAGGCTTCTTATTTCACCATCATTTTCTCTGTTGTTAGGATTTTTTGAAAATCTCATTGATTCTTACTCGGTTACTCACAGGTAACGTTCAAGTTTTAAGAATTTTCCACTTTAATTTTAATTTAACGACCACTTCTAATGTTCTATTATTCATGTCATTGTAAAATATCAGGGTAAAGAATTTAGATTTGAACATCAGTTTCAATTGTTTGTAAAGATTCTTTTTTGTCCTTGATTGATATCAATTTTTTATTTTTGTCATAGACTTCGACTTAAATTTTAATGATTTATATATGTTAGATTTTAACATTTTCATTGATGATACCTAACTGTTGGTTTTGGAAGTGTGAAGATCGAAACCTGAAATGAAATAAACAATAAAGCTAAAAAATCAAGCTCCGGTCGACCGATAAGCTTGGACCAGTCGACCGAAAAGCCTGTAGGAATCGAGCCCAGGAAGTTCGCTCTGGTCGGTCGACCGACATAAGCTCATCGGTCAACCGACACGAACCCAAGAAACTTACAGGAGTTTCGGGTCGGTCGACCGATGGCACTGAGCCGATCCAACCGATCGACCGACGCCAATGCACCGGTCGACCGACATTGGATTTTCCAGATTCCCAGTTTGTTTGGGAATCTGTTTTGGGCTGGGATACTATATATACCTTAAACGTTTTAGGGTTTGTAGAACACAAAAAAAGAGGGTTTTGACGGCACTTTGAGATCAGAGATCTTAGAGAAAGAGAGAGGCCTATTGCGAGCATTGTAATATTCTTCAATTAATCAAAGTATTTTGGTAAGACTCCCGAGGACGTAGGCACACTTGTCGAACCTCATTAAATTTGGTGTTCTCTGTTTGATTATTCTTTCCAGCAAGTTTTTCTTTTATTTGTTGTGATTTCTTGCTTGTTACTTTCGACACAAGATCCGGAAGGGCACGGGTTGCGAATTCAATCCCAACAACTGGTATCAGAGCTTCGTCCAGAAGATTTGTGCGAGAGCTATGGCAGAGGAAAGCAAATCGAAGATTAAGAAGTTTGACAAGTCAGACTTTGCCTACTGAAAGTTGCTGATGGTGGACTATCTGTACTAGAAGGATTTTTATCATCCATTGATGGGCAAGGCTAAGGGAAAGAAGAAAGAGGAATCAGACGATGACTAGGAAATATTGGATCGAAAGGCTCTATGTCATATTCGATTGTCGCTCGCCAAATCAGTCACCCACAATATATTAAAGGAGAAGATGATGGTGGTGCTTATGGAAGCGCTCACGAAGATATACAAGCAACCGTCAGCCGTAAACAAGGTGCATCTCATCAAGACACCCTTCAACCTCAAGAGGGCAGAAGGATATTCCTTCACATAGCATCTCAGTGAGTTCAACATGATTGTTGATTAACTTATTTTCGTCGACATCACATTTGATGATGAAGTACAGGGCCTATTGATTCTATCGTAGTTACCAGATAGTTAGGCAAGTTGTGTGACCGCAATTAGCAACTCGACAGGGAAGGAGAAGTTGAAGCTGAGTGAGGTTATTAACATGATTCTATCCGAGGAGGTTAGAAGGAAATCGTTCAAATCAGAAGGTTCAGGTCCAACCCTAAATCTCAAGCAAAAGGGCCGAATCTAGAATAAGGGAAACCAGAACAGGAATCGGTCGAAGTCAAAGAAGAAGAGGTCGAACTCGAAGGTGAGGCCTATCAAAGGAAAGTGTTGGAACTGCGGCCTGGAGGGCCATATGTCTTCAGTCTGCAAAGCGTCAAAGAAGGATGCAAATGAGCATGAGGCTCATCTTGTGCAAGATGCATTGATCATTGCTATGGACAACAATTCTGATTCATGGGTAATTGATTCAGGACTCTCTTTCCACTCCACTGCTAATAGGAAGCTTCTTCAGAACTATGTAGCAGAGGACTTTGGGAAAGTGTACTTGGGGGATAACGAGCCTTGTAGTATTGTTAGAAGAGGTGACGTGCAGATTCAGATGAAGGGCTCTAGGTAGAATCTGAAGAATGTCAGACACGTACTGAAGCTAAAGAGGAATCTTGTTTTGGCTGGTCAGCTTGGAGTAAAAGGCTATGTTTCAACATTCACCTGGGATTCATGGAAAATCTCCAACGGTACTATGATGGTTGCTCGTGGCAACAAAACCGAAACACTCTACCTAACTTCACATGCGAGTGACACCCTCGCAATTATAGCTGGCAATGAGAGTGCGGATCTGCAGTACAATAGGCTAGGATACATGAGTGAGAAGGAAATGAAGATTCTACACTCACAGGGAAAGCTAACCGATATCGATTCAGTTAAAGTTGGTGTTTGCGAGTATTGCATCTACGGGAAGCAGAAGAGGGTTAACTTTTAGAAAAGTGGAAGATCATCTAAAGCTCAGAAGTTAGAGCTAGCATATCTTCTCTTGGTGGTTCAACGTACTATGTTACCTTTATTGACGATCACTCGAAGAAAGTGTGGGTATACTTCATGAAGCACGAGTTAGAGGTGTTCGAGATCTTCAAGAAGTGGAAAGCAATGGTGGAGAACGAGACAGGTCTGAAGGTGAAGTGTCTAAGATCAGACAATGGTGGAGATTACGAGCTAGTGGAGTTCAAGAGGTTTTGTGTTCTAAATAGGATTCGTTTGGAGAGGACTACTCCATGGATGCCGCAACAGAACGGCGTTGCAGAGAGGATAAACATGACATTAACAGAGCGTGTGAGGAGCATGTGTTTACATGCAAGTCTGCCTACAACATTTTGGGCGGATGCGATATATACGACAACTTACTTGATCAATCATGGGTCATCCGTTCCATTGGATTTCAGGATTCCAAAAGAGGTTTGGAGTGGCAAGAAAGTTAATCTCTCACATTTGAAGGTCTTTGGTTGCGTGGCATATGTTCATATCAGTGACCATATCAGGGACAAGCTAGAATCTAAGTCATAGATTTGTACATTTATTGGATATGGCATTGATGAGTTCGGGTATCGTCTTTGGGATGAGAAGAATATGAAAATCATCAGGAGCAGAGATGTAATACTCAATGAGGAGGTGATGTACAAGGACAAACACAATGCCAAGAATAACCAAAACAGTGGGAGCAGTACTAAGGATGCAGGTGGATCCGAGTACATGGATTTAGAGGAACTTTCAGATAGAAGAGACAGTGTTAGTTCTAACCGAAGAACGAAAAAAAC